AGTACAACACACATATGCTTCTCTCACTGAATAAAAGGTGCTTTCTGTTGATGAATATATGTGGGTCTCGCTGTGAGAAACTGCCAATTACCTGCCCCATAAACACATAACCCGCTGTGAGGAGCTGATTAATCTGCCCCATATATGCGGCTCTCAGCCTTAATGAGTTAAGCAGTAAGATACCCCACCCCCTCTGGGCCCTTCTGACTGACTGACTGACTGAGTTTGGTTTAACGCCGCTTTTAGCAATATTCCAGCAACATCACGGCGGAGGACACCAGAAATGGGCTTCACACATTATACCCATGTGGGGATTCGAACCCAGGTCTTCAGCGTGACGAGCCAACGCTTTAACCACTAGGCTACCCCACCGCCCCCTGGGCCCTTCTGAAGCTATTGCGGCTAATATTATTTGACAGAAAGATACCACACCCCTCTTGAACCTTCGGAAGCTATCGTTGCTAATACTATTTGACAGTAAGATACCCCACCCCCTCTAGAACCTTCTGAAGCTATTGCGGCTAATATTAATTGACAGTAAGATACCCCACCCCTGTTGAACCTTCTGAAGCTATTGCGGCTAATACCATTTGACAGTAAGATACCCCACCCTGTTGAACCTTCTGAAGCTATTGCGGCTAATACTATTTGACAGTAAGATACCCCACCCCTGTTGAACCTTCTGAAGCTATTGCGGCTAATACTATTTGACAGTAAGATACCCCACCCCTGTTGAACCTTCTGAAGCTATTGCGGCTAATACTATTTGACAGTAAGATACCCCACCCCTGTTGAACCTTCTGAAGCTATTGCGGCTAATACTATTTGACAGTAAGATACCCCACCCCTGTTGAACCTTCTGAAGCCATTGCGGCTAATACTATTTGACAGTAAGATACCCCACCCCTGTTGAACCTTCTGAAGCTATTGCGGCTAATACTATTTGACAGTAAGATACCCCACCCCCTCTGGAACCTTCTGAAGCTATTGCGGCTAATACTATTTGACAGTAAGATACCCCACCCTCTGGAACCTTCTGAAGCTATTGTGGCTAATACTATTTGACAGTAAGATACCCCACCCCCCTCTGGAACCTTCTGAAGCTATTAAGCGGCTAATACTATTTGACAGTAAAATACCCCACCCCCTCTGGAACCTTCTGAAGCTATTATGGCTAATACTATTTGACAGTAAAATACCCCCCCCCTCTGTTGAACCTTCTGAAGCTATTACGGCTAATACTATTTGACAGTAAGATACCCCACCCCTGTTGAACCTTCTGAAGCTATTGCGGCTAATACTATTTGACAGTAAGATACCCCACCCCCTCTGGAACCTTCTGAAGCTATTGCGGCTAATACTATTTGACGGTAAGATACCCCACCCCTGTTGAACCTTCTGAAGCTATTGCGGCTAATACTATTTGACAGTAAAATACCCCACCCCTCTGGAACCTTCTGAAGCCATTGCGGCTAATACTATTTGACAGTAAGATACCCCACCTGTTGAACCTTCTGAAGCTATTATGGCTAATACTATTTGACAGTAAGATACCCCACCCCCTCTAGAACCTTCTGAAGCTATTATTAGCTAATACTATTTGACAGTAAGATACCCCACCCCTGTTGAACCTTCTGAAGCTATTGTGGCTAATACTATTTGACAGTAAAATACCCCACCCCCTCTGGAACCTTCTGAAGCCATTGCGGCTAATACTATTTGACAGTAAGATACCCCACCTCTGTTGAACCTTCTGAAGCTATTGCGGCTAATACTATTTGACAGTAAGATACCCCACCCCCTCTGGAACCTTCTGAAGCTATTGCGGCTAATACTATTTGACAGTAAGATACCCCACCCCTGTTGAACCTTCTGAAGCTATTGCTAATACTATTTGACAGTAAAATACCCCACCCTCTGGAACCTTCTGAAGCTATTACGGCTAATACTATTTGACAGTAAGATACCCCACCCCTCTGGAACCTTCTGAAGCTATTATGGCTAATACTATTTGACAGTAAGATACCCCACCCCTCTGGAACCTTCTGAAGCTATTGTGGCTAATACTATTTGACAGTAAGATACCCCACCCTCTCTGAACCTTCTGAAGCTATTATGCTAATACTATTTGACAGTAAAATACCCCACCCTCTGGAACCTTCTGAAGCTATTATGCTAATACTATTTGACAGTAAAATACCCCACCCCTCTGGAACCTTCTGAAGCTATTAAGGCTAATACTATTTGACAGTAAGATACCCCACCCCTGTTGAACCTTCTGAAGCTATTAAGCGCTAATACTATTTGACAGTAAGATACCCCACCCTGTTGAACCTTCTGAAGCTATTATGGCAATACTATTTGACAGTAAAATACCCCACCCCCTCTGAACCTTCTGAAGCTATTGTGGCTAATACTATTTGACAGTAAGATACCCCACCTCTGTTGAACCTTCTGGAAGCTATTAGGCTAATACTATTTGACAGTAAGATACCCCACCCCTCTGGAACCTTCTGAAGCTATCATGGGCTAATACTATTTGACAGTAAAATACCCCACCCCTCTGGAACCTTCTGAAGCTATTGCGGCTAATACTATTTGACAGTAAAATACCCCACCCCTCTGAAACCTTCTGAAGCTATTGTGGCTAATACTATTTGACAGTAAGATACCCCACCCCTCTGGAACCTTCTGAAGCTATTAAGGCTAATACTATTCGACAGTAAGAAACCCCACCCCTCTGGAACCTTCTGAAGCTATTAAGGGCTAATACTATTTGACAGTAAAATACCCCACCCTCTGGAACCTTCTGAAGCTATTAGGTTAATACTATTTGACAGTAAGATACCCCACCCCTCTGGAACCTTCTGAAGCTATTATGGCTAATACTATTTGACAGTAAAATACCCCACCCCCTCTGGAACCTTCTGAAGCTATTGTGGCTAATACTATTTGACAGTAAGATACCCCACCCCCTCTGGAACCTTCTGAAGCTATTGCGGCTAATACTATTTGACAGTAAAATACCCCACCCCCTCTGGAACCTTCTGAAGCCATTGCGGCTAATACTATTTGACAGTAAGATACCCCACCCCTGTTGAACCTTCTGAAGCTATTGTGGCTAATACTATTCGACATTGTCAATCTGATTTTGTTTCCTTATTATGTAATAAAACAATTACAGATTTATAGACAAAAAAGCAACATGTCTCTTTTCAGATACACAGTTTCAGGATCCTGACTGCCAGACATGGTGAAGATTAAGGTAAAATCAAATATAACTTGATTACGTATGGAGATTACCTGAACATAATTTGTCTTTTAATCGCACATCCCCACAAACAAATATAGCAAACTGCTCACAAACAAGAAACTCAAGTTTGCTTAACCATAATAAATTAATAATTTCATCAATTATCTTTATCCATACACTGAAAATTTATGATTTATTTTGTGAGAAAGTATTCATACTCAGTATAAGAAGATTGACTGAGGCAGAGCCTCCTCTTTGTCTTATGTGCATGCCTTTTAAACAAATTCCAATTATATGACAGCGTGAGCTTGAAGTGGGTGGAACACTGAGAGTGATAAAGATCCCATTTCCCACGTTGGTGAAACCCACAGGTCAGATATGGTGTTGACAAGGCTAGAAATATATTCAGGGCAAAACCAGATTCAAACCCACAATTACAGGTTTCTAGAGTGCCAAATAGATGTAACCCTGCACAGAAATTTGTGGCACCTTAGACAACTGGGCTACCTATGTCCCACCTCCCCGATTTTTGTTTAAAAAAACAGATGGTGATGAGATAAGATGTGTATCAATTACCCTTAGAACACAATATTCACCTCTGCAATGGTTTGAAGTGACTTTGAAGACACACTGGATTAATGGGAATCATGTTGAGTATTGTAATGTAAACCAGCATTTTCCCACTGAACCACCAGGGCAGGGGAATGAAGGTTCACAGAGCACATTTTTTTTTTGACATTTTCCATCATCCACTGCTTGGTGCATGTATACTAGGCACATAAAGAAACGGTGCATACAAAAATTTAAAATCGAAATTTATCAAACTTGTGTAGACACATAAGGATTTCAACTCAGAGATTAGTGACATGTATCCAACATGCATGCACGTGCCACGTTCCGTGACGTCAGTGGGTTCAATTGAAATTCTCCTGACTTGTTATTGTCTCATGATCCCTCCATTAAAGTTTATATGTACCTTTGACATTGTTATCGTACTTATCAACTGGGATAATATTTTGACAATGCACAGTTTCTTTATGTGGCTAGTATACAATGCTGGGATCTGCTTTGGTGCAGGTGTTAGACCTCAGAATGTGGTGGAAAGACACATTTGAACAGGTGGGTGACGTGAAATTGGGTTTAACGTCATGCTTGAAAATATTTCGCTCATACTTAAGCTGGTTTTATAGTGCTAGCCCACTGAGATACCATGCCGCAGTGAAGCATGAATACCCCACTCAGACACATTATACTGACTCTGAGCCAACCAGTCCTTGTGCTGAGCGCCAGACAGGGACCAACAAGTACCATATTTTAACGTCTTTTGGTATGACGCGGTCGGAGATGGAACCCGCGACCTTGCGCTCTCCCATTTGAACAGAAGGGTATAGGTATCAAATAGATACAATAAAGACAAACTTTAAAGATAACATTACATCGCGAGCGCTACGTTTTGATACAGGTTCTTGTACAATGGGCAATCAACGTTGTTATCCATAAAGTTTCTCTATATTGTTCTTCCCTACTTCAAAAATGACACTAAAAAAATAATTATCAAATACACGTAGATACAACAAATGTGATTAATGCAGGCATCAATATGAGAAGATTTGGGTCATAGGTGGAATAAAACATTTTTCCTTGGTTTTGGTCATGTCTGAAGAAAACAAAATGCCTCCATTACATCCATCTACCTATAGAGTTCATTCTTAAACCTATTTGATCACAAATGTTTCCTCTAACTCACCAGCAAGTCTGGGTCCTCAGTGTCAGACAGCTCTTCATCACTGCCGATGTCTCTCATACTCTCAGCGGCCATTTTGTTAATCACGGACATGTCCAGTGGAGCTGCAAACAAATTCCAACATCAGGTTCTTTGTTTGTTCTTTAAAGCCGCACTCAGCAATGTTCCAGCTATATGGCGGGGACCTGTAAATAATTGAGTCTAGACCAGACAATCGATCTATGCAAATGGTATACAATGACATGTCTCAACCAAGTCAGCGAGCCTGACCACTCAATCCCAATAGTTGTCTCTTACGACAAGCATGGGTTGCTGAAGACCAATTCTAACCAAATGTTGACATGTTCATCCTGGCTGTTAACACCACAAGAATCACATAATAGTGAAATGATACCAACAACCACTTTCTCAAAACAAGAGTCATCAGAAGATGACATATCCCCCCGGCCCCCACATATTTGAAAGAACAAATCAGCTGACAGTTACTTAAAGTCCAGCTTGATGTCTTTTTAGATTAAGTCTGAATCGTTTCCATGGAAACCGAGAAAAATAAAATCGGCAAAAATCTGTAAATAGCAAAAGGCACCCACATATTTGAAAGAACAAATCAGCTGACAGTTACTTAAAGTCCAGCTTGATGTCTTTTTAGATTAAGTCTGAATCGTTTCCATGGAAACCGAGAAAAATAAAATCGGCAAAAATCTGTAAATAGCAAAAGGCACCACTTAGCTCATGCTTGATATATCTACCAAGTCTTGAAGAAAGATATTGAACGGTTTTCGAGTTATGCTCCGGAAACAAAATGATTACGGACGGACAGACAAGCTGTTGACTATATCCCCCCGCATTACATGCCAGGGAGATAACAAGCTTCAGAATGAAACCAGACTGTTGCTCCCTTATTTACGTAGGCAGAATGACAGTTACAATGGCAGAATAGTAGATGACAAACTATCTTGTTTTGAAATGAAGCCGAGAGCTCTTAAATGTTAGGAAAAAAAGGAAATATATATTGCAAAGATACTGAGACAGGGCGTTCAGGATATCAGTTCCCCCTATAAACAGTGATAAACATGTAATCATTATTAAACCAAATCTACATCTCTCTCCAGGAGGATGACCAACCTTTCCTCTTGGTTGCTGGTTTCTTTACCTCACCACCAGTCAGAGCTGCCAGCTCCGCCTCCAAGTCATCATCATCATCATCCATTCCTCCATGCATTGTGTCATCCTCCATACCACCAAACCCCATCTGGTCAAATTGAAATCAACACATTGATTTAGGGTCACTAGTAGAATACATTAAGTCTTATCAGTTTATAAACCTTTAAACATGCTAAGTTCAACATTGTCAATGAAGTAAACACATTTCTATTTTTTAGAATCCAAATTGTGTAAACTGGAAATTATTTGTGTGAACATAATAACCAAACTAATACTACTGCTACTACACCATCGACATAATTAAATATATAGTAAATATATACGATAACATTGAGAATGGGAGCAAATCATTTATGCTGCTCTGCTCACAGGATTCCAAATAAGGATGTCTTTTTGAATCATTAAACCAATCAATCACGGTAGCATGCACATAAATTTTGATACATGTGAATTTTCTTCACTTAATCAAATTTTTTTACAATGTCAGAAACACGTTTGGTAGAAACATAGAGAGAATTGTTGAATTTCTACATTCAGAATGAGACAGATGGATAACAGGCAGTTTTAGATCTACACCTTTGATATGACAATAGTGTTATGAAGTTTAGAAGCAGCATTTACATCAGTTTGTTGAAAGATACCTGTTTGATGTTGAACAACACTCAATGCTGCACACATGCAATATTAAACATATTTTCGGAGCACCTTTAGAATACAGCACCACAACTTCTCGTGAGGACGATCTCTGCCGTAGGTCACATGTCATTAAGACAGGCAACCAGTTTGTGAGAACCCGTCGGACGAGAACCCGCGACCTTCGGATTGTTAGCCTGACAGCTAACCGACTGAGCTACGTCCACACTGTTGCACAATGTGCAAATTTATCGAGTCATTCCTGTGGCGTCCATCGAAATCACCGAAATCACCGAAACCCACGAAGTCTACAGTGTCGGCGTGACTTCGCATTTACCACGAACAATGCCGAAGTTGTTCGAAATGATCGGGTAACCTTGGAAACACATGACGTCATTCTTTTTTCGCCTGCGCAAGTTCATGGGCCGGGAAATCTAAAGCGTCATTTCAAGCTTTGACATTGAAAGGGGCAAACATCGTGAATTCACGATGGCAGGATCTTTGGAGGATTCGTTTGAGGATTTTGTGATGGAAAAGAAAGTGTATTTAGCGGAGCAAGGAAGGAGAACTTGGTTCATGGGAGTAAGGATAAGAGGGCCAGGAATAAGGATGTGGTAGACACTGGGAAGGCGGATGGCAGTTTTCCTTCATTTCCAAGTTGTACTGATGCTCCTTGGGTAAGTTCATATGGGAGAGATTTGGGAGGGCTTCCAGGGTCATAACTTATGATTGGTTGCTCTTTCATGTATTTGTGACGATTAAGTGCTACTTTTGGCTTGGTGCATGAACCGTGGGTTACTCTGTAACCATGTCACCTGTGATGTATGCAAGAGGTCAATGTATATTGCAGAGGCAACTGGGATTCATCGGAGTAGTGACGGCATTCGTTGGGCTTGTCGTAGAGAACGATTGATGGAGTTAGACATCAGTGTTACAAATCAATCGAACTAAAAGCTGGTTCTCTGATGCTCGCATCAATATGGCTGAATGTTTGAAATTGATTTTTCACTGAATGTCGGAACCGCTCTCAGCTTGATTGTCAGACTGAGTACGGTTTTTCTTCAGCAACGACTACTGACTGGTACAACTTTTGTCGTGGAGGTGTGTGATAAGTCGGTTTATGGGAGAATGGAAAGATAGGTGGGCCAGGTATTATTGTTGAGATTGATGAATCAAAGTTTGGCAAACGAAAGTATCATAAAGGTCATTATGTGGAGGGCCAGTGGGTGTTCGAGGTGTTGAGAGATTGGCCCGACATAAGATTTTTATGGTACCAGTAGAACGCCGTGATGCTGACACTTTGATTCCATTAATCAAGCAATGGATTTTACCCGGTTCTACTATCATTTCTGACTGTTGGGAAATCATACAGTTCTCTCGATTCTGATCCGGATTACACACATCTCACTGTCAACCATTCGAGAATTTCAAAGACCCCATTACAGGTAGCATACAAATACAATTGAAGGAGCATGGCTTCATCGCGGTTAGCTCCATGAATAAGTACGGCACTGTCAAGTCTCTTTTGAATCCTATCTCAATGAACATATCTGGAGAGTAAAGGTATCTTGGGGTGAAGGGGATTTGTTTGATGCTCTACTGTGAGGTTACCCGACAGTATCCTATTAATAACATGCCTGATCCATTCCACTTCAGCCTGCTTCCTCCACGGTTCTTGCTGCCTCCTCTCCTGCCAACTGACTGAGTACTGATCATGCCTTGAGCGGCGACTATCGATCCATGTTTGGTTTTCACCAAAACGCCATTACATTACTTTTGCTGAGTGTATTATTAATTTCATTCACAATAGTAAATGTATGGTGCTTGTGTGCACGTTCGCCATGGATTTAAAAAAAAGAAATAGAATCCCCGCCCCAACCAAAGCCATTTCTAACCCTAAACCCTAACCCTAAACCTAAACCCTAACCCTAAACCTAACCCTAAACCTAAACCCTAACTAACCCTAACCCTGAAACCCCACCTAACCCTAAACCCTAATATAATGATTAAATTGACCAAAACTGCGAATAATAGATTTTGGCATAATGTGACAGGTAAAATGCATTCTTACTAAATTGAAAAAATATAAAATGCAATAAAAACACAAAAAACACAAAGTATAACACCTCAGCACCCGTGAAATGTACATTATTATCAGCGCATTTTTGTGAAAAAACAAAACATGGTAAACTGGTGCTTGCAAATAATTGCGCATCCGCCTGTAAACTATTGCTGGAAACTCTCAACATCGTTGGGCTTATGCAATGAGATAGCCAGTAGAGATGAAACATCACTGAACGGAGCTTATACGCACTCGATGACCTTGACAACCGTGTTGCCATGCTGGCGTCATAGGGCATTGTTTCGAGAACGTGCTTTGGAACAAAGTCACACTAAATTACGTAAATGGGTATTATGACGTAATTTCAAAGTTTGTGGTGCTGTATTCTAAAGGTAGGCCATATTTTCTTGATTCTGAGTTATGTGTATATGTGATAAGATAAGATAAGATAATTCTTATATATATATAAAAATATATTCATAGGTAACATGATAACCATAATAACATCCAAGTCACCATGACATTTCAAATCTTAAACATCATACACATATACTATCATTGGATATAGATCTGTTATGTTGGTTTGAGTCATCCATTTGTTAAGATACGAGTGGGTATGGCTCGTCCAGCTTTTGAGTACAAGTGTGCCAAAAAGTATGGGTATGGATAGCCATGTTGCCCATGTGTTTAAAATGTTTGGTACCAATATATGTGAGTATCTAACTAATCACTATCCTTTCATCCTAGCTTCAAAATGGCATTGTTAGTTTGAATTCTCCTATAAACACATAATTTCACCATTATTATTTTATACATCAATATATTTTTAATTGAATGAAAAAGATGATGCCACTTGAAGGATGTGGTTTATTACAAAGGCGTTAGTAATCAATTATTAAAAATCTAATTCGGAAATTTGAAATGCATGTCATCCAAACTATGTGGAGAAGCATTTAGTGATCAGATCGTCTTGGCATGTCAAATTGCATAAACATTCAGAGTCGTTGATTTCAAGCTTCAGAAATCAGGAAATGGTGATAAGGTTGTGATTCACTGTCACACGACACTGTTATTTACGCACACCGACAGACAGATGTAAACGAATCGATAAATCGATGGGAATAGTTTATAAAGTCATAAAACTAATATTCACTTGATTCATTAGCGCTGTCCCCTTCCTCGATTGAGTCTGAGGAGCCTGTTTCTTCTTCCCAAACATTGTTTGCGTTCTGCTTGTTTACTTTCCGGAAGTACCATAAAGTGCAAGAGTTATTTCCTTTAAAAGCGCCACCTGTAAAAAAACAAGGGGGGATAATAGTGGTGACTACCGCACCACACAATCCTTGCTTCAACTGACCCTGGTAGTTAAAATCATGGTTCGATTCCCCATATGGATACACACCGAGAACATTTCGTCTTTTCAACCAATGTTATTTTTTTGCAATCATGCTAAAAGCGACGTAAAAGCTTACTATGACTTTCGTGTATTCAGTAAGACTTGTTTCATACAAATGCATTAATATCAAATATACGTGACCGTTCGCTTCCCATTCAGTTTGGCAAGATAGAGATGAACTTCAGTAGTAGTCGTCTCACATTATAGGGTTGGTTGGACATATATCAGTTGGTGCTTCTATGTTCTGCATACAACAAAATAAATAAGCGATATCTTCCATATAGGTTCTAGAGCATTTAAAGGTCACATGCAACGTAAAACACAACTTTGCAGATTCTGATACCTTTCGGTATGGACATACCGAAACAAATCGTCAAAAATGCAAATTCAGCTTATAAAGTTGAAAAATAACGCGATGAAAAAAAACGCGCGAAATCGGAGTTCAAACGTTTCACTAATTTTCCCCCCGACTTTTCTGGGGAAAACGGGTTTCAACAGCTGGGCTGCGCTCAAAGCACGTGCGCAAGTAAATAGGTTCGCGCAGCTTGGAAGCGGGTTATCGGGTGAATACTCGGTGAAGGCTTTGGTGTGAGCTATTTTTCTAATGTTTTGTTGATATCTCACAGGCGCGAGCTTTTTATATGTTATGACAGTAAATTAACTGTTTATATAATTTCATTTGTCTATTTCACCACACGTTCTTCTTACCGAGACACTTTCTCAGTTCGATACTTAAAAGCAATGTCATTATTTAGCGTTGACACAATTTCTAACTGTGATATAGATATGTCGTTGTCACAGACAAAACTCAATGTCTTGTTTTATTGACACCTGTGTGTCTGCCTGCCTGTCTGCTAATGACAATATTCAATACACAACTGCGATCACTGACCACATGCAATTTGAACTTAACACCAATCAGGCTATACACCATAAACAAAACGCATTGATTTATGGCCCGAGTTCCGTCTCTGTCACATTATGTAATTACACAGACAGGAAGGTGTGATACTTAAACACCTGACATGTTATGATGTCTGTTGATTGCAAAATGTTATGTACAAAAAATGAGCATGTATTTACAAAACCCAACATCTCTATATATACACACATAATGAGCCATGAAGGCGCATCTGCTAAGGAACCAGCCGTTACATTTGAGTGCACACCCACCCGCTCTGACTGGGTTCGGTATCCCGGCTGCTTCGTTTCGAGGGAAGTAAACCCAAGTACAAAATATTTCACTTTTGATTTGCGATTATACGCTTATAATTTTGTTTATTTGTTTTTTCATAATCAGCAATGCATATTATATGTCATGAGGAAGTGATAATACTGTTTTAATTATGTTTGATTTTTTGGTTGCATGTGACCTTTAAGCGATCTAGTTAAAATAACACATTTGAAAGATATACAAACCAAAGTAGTTTACACGAATACAAACAAAAACAATTTGAGCGAAAGCTGAAATTGCCTTTTTCCACAAATGACCCATTAGCATGTATCATTTTATCTCAGAACAGATTCTACATTGGCGGATCCGTGTGTGTGTGTGTGTGTGTGTGTGTGTGTGTTTTACAGGGGGTTCGAACCCCCCTTTTGAAAATGACTTAAGGCCACACTGAAGAATTGTTTGGGCGTTGGCGGAGCCAGTGAGTTGTTCAGGGGGTTCGAACCTCCAGGAAATTATGCTTTGCTTGGTTCTGGGATCCTTTTGGTTTCTACAATAAAGTTTGTTTGTTGATATACCTTTTTACTTCAATTCTGCGATTTAATGACAGTCTTAAAACATTGTTGGCATGACGGTTTAATTATGTTCCTTTGTCACAGCTATTGTGTACGCTTTTGGTGAGTTCTACAGGAGAATTTGACACAGGGTTGGGATATATGTTATTGACTCAGCGGAGTGATGCACCAGAAACCCTAGATAATAATCAGTCACGGCTGTTTGCCGAAAGACAGATCCCAGTGGTCATAAAGGGGCTAAATGGTATTAAAATTGGTGCCAAATCACTGAATCAATGAAAATCTGTGATGAGATGTTCGAGAAAAGAGCAAGCGTTTCCTGCTCTAACTCTAGCATGCGAGTCTAGTTTTTCTTACTCCCAAGTGAGTGAGTTTAGTTTTACGCCGCTTTTAGCAATATTCCAACAATATCACGGTGAGGGACACCAGAAATGGACTTCACACATATATGTGGGGAATCGAACCCGGGTCTTCAGGGTGACAAGTGAACACTTTAACCACTAGGCTACCCCACCACCCTATTCCCAGGGGTCACGGGGCTGTGAACATACATAATTATTAGCTTCAATACAAACAAAGGTACCACAAACAGTCTTTTCGAGATACAGAGAGCGAACATCATGCAGTATTTGAAGACTTGTTTCATTTTCCACGCCCGTCAGTCAGGAGATGTTTTTGTAAGTTGATCAGAAGGTGGGTATCCATCATCCAGCTATTTGTCCCCCTGTTTCATCTGCTTCCCGGACCTTAAGAATGTCTTGGGGATTCATTTCACTCATCCAGCTTGTTTTGTTGAAATGCATGAACTTTAATGAATTCCCGCCACTCCTCTAACATCCAGAGTTATGGCTTCTGAGCCAGTGGAACAGGTCCACCAGCATGAAACCCATCCTTTAGAAACGCATCACCCATATATTTTCATCAATGTTGCTCATGACCCGAAATACGAATTTTAGGAACGTATGGTGAAAAAGGTGTAAAGGGAAACACGTACGTTACCCGTGTTACTGTTTTTACGGGTGAACCTCAACACGACAATGGAAACGGTCTTTAACCTTAATTACACGGAATGCACGTGCTTTGTGACTTGTTTCATCCTGTTTATACCGATCACGTCGGTTTAACAGACCAGCCTTTGCTAACTGTAATTCACCATTCCAATGTCAAGTGACGCCGCTGCGATGCCATGCTATCAGCTCAGGAGCGAGACAGCAGTAGGTTGGAATGTCAACACGCTCTATTCGACTATTGTTAGACTGTCCCAACGTCAGCAGCAGACCCTCAGCAACAGTGATCGTCCATGTCCTGGACAGCCACGTGTGACAATCCCCAGACAGGATCGCCATATTGGTCTGCCCTAGTAACCGATTTCTTCTTTGAGTGGCATTGTTTAGAAACTGGAGAGTAATGTACAGACAAACTATATGGATAAACAACTTCTTTATTCAGTATATGCGACGTTTTCGATACAGATTCTTGTATCGTTGTCAAGCAAGTATGAGTAAGGTAGATAACAGGGGACTATATATACAGTAAATCCAATCAACACCAGAGTTAAAGAACACCAGGTGTCTACATACAAGTCGGACAAGAAATCAGCTATCTCTGAACATATACAGAACAACCCCAATCATCAAATCAACTGGACAGAGTACACAATACTGGCAGCCAACCAACCTGACTTCACCAAACGGAAATTAACCGAAGCCATCCACGTCAACGGGCACCGACCCCTGATCAATAAAGACCAAGATTACTTCATCCCCTCTGCGTACGATGAACTCATCAACCAACCGTAGCTGGTTGTATTTAAGATCGGAAGGAAATAGACTTGATCATCTGAGTAAAACTAATCCAAAACAATTTCATGCTAAATTCAGTAAACGTAAAAAGACTAGTATTGACGTTCTATTGTCTGTGTTTCATTCTTATTTCAAAGATCTTGCAGGTGACTCTGATTATGGTTTAAACATATTTATTTCCAAAAGAGGAACCGGATTGGTAAACAAGCAGTATTGTGCTTATATGAATACCGCTCCGGAATACAGACATATTATAGATATAATAATCGTACGGAGAAAAACATGATATTAACAAACAATAAACAATAGCTTTCTGGAAATGTAACAATCATAAACTGTAACATGCCACTTTTAACGTTAGAACCATTAGTGTCGGAAAATACTTAATAGTAAGTGCAATTTCGTTTATATATTACAACTCAAATCTGCCTGACAGTACAATGAAAGAACGGATAGATTCTAATAATTCAAGATTACCTTTAGTAGATCCATGAGAGTGGCCGTATAGTATTGATTTGATGTCATATCCTTTAGTATAGAAATGCATTTTATGTCTTATGTCAGTGTAATTAACGCACGAAAAGAAATAGTGAATTGGATCTTCATAACAGTAGCCACAAGAACAAGAGGGATTTGAGGATATAAATCGTTGATATTTATGTGCGTTTAAATCGCTGCAACCGAGCCTGAGGCGTGAATGGATAATCTGACAGAATCTTGTTCCAAAGCTTAAATTGAAGTAATTTTGACTATTATTATTATTTGACCCATTAATCTGTTTCTTAAAACTACCCAAAGTAGCCGTTTCTCTATGATCGGTAGACAAACAATTCCACAATCTTACTGTATCTGGGAGAAATGACTTAGCATAATTTGCACTTTTACCATCGATAGTTTGGAGCTTCAAGCGGTCTCGGAAAATGTAGCTTGTTGTGTCAGATACCTTAGGAGGGACGAGATCGCTCAGATATTTTGGAGTAAAATTATTAACCATCTTATAGAAAAACGTTAGTTTTTTGGATGTATCTTCGAGTACATAGTGGTTGGAAGTTTGTCTCATCATAAATTTTGTTGTGACTCGTGTCGCGAACAGCACCGCAAATAGTTCTAAGTGCATCAAGATTAAGTTTTTCCAGTGTTAGTGCTTGCTGTTTGGTACAGTTGTCCCAGATGTGACAACAATAGTCGAAAATAGGTAAGATATATTGTTTGTACATTGTTTGTAAAGTTCTACGTGAGAGACGATATTTAAAACCTCTAAGACAGTTTACCATGGGTGCAACCTTTTTTAGCGATACAGTTAACATGGTCAGTCCAGGAACCATCGAGCTG